ACTGTTAACACTATAAAAGTACAAGTATTAAATTTAACCCAAGTACATAGCAGCATATGTTGAATGTATACATTTGCTAGATCATTGTCCAGATTAATTAATCTACATTATTATCGCACTAATAAGTATTCTCAACATTTAAATTCAATAAATTTTGCTCATTATTTATTTTTTATTTGAATAAATACTTTGTTATGGTTGTAAATTTCATGTTTAACATGCCTCTTCTTTATGTAATTTTGTATTTCACAGCGGTCAAAACTGAGGTGTACATTCATGTTTGCATCATTCGCATAAATTATTATCGCCAGTCACTGTTGTATTAGCCTATTTTTGTTTTTAAGGAAATCCGATTGATTCCGTTTGTGTTCCCCGACTCTACCGTCTCTGTGCTCAATTATGCACTCTTAGCTTTTTCCAAATACATTTTCTTTTCAGCAATACACCCCGAAAGCTTGGGGGCACCTTGTTCGTACGCTGCTCTCGGGGGCGAGCTCCTCGAATGTGTGCATGCGCGCAAGAGTGTGTCTGAGTTTGTGCGCGAGTGTGTGTGTGTGTGTGTGTTTGAGAGAGAGAGAGAGCGTGTGAATGTGAGTGTGAGTGTGTGCGTGCGCGCGTGTCTGCTCTGCTGTTGCTGCCCTTTGATCCCTGCATTAGTGTTAGTTAGGGGCTCGAAGACACACTTGCACCGAGAGCAGCCATAGTCAAGACACAGCAACAACAACAGCGGCACCTCCTCCGCCTGTGTTCCCATTCCCCAACAATACACTTTAAACCGAGCAAAGCCAGGTGCACGACCAAGTCCCTGCCATCACTGGCGCCTCCAGTCTCAATGGGAAAAACCTTTTTTCTTCTTATCCCTAAACAAGGACGAGAATGTGATTAAAAACGGGGGAAAATGCCAAGGAGGAAGCAGGAGCAACCCAAGCGCCTGCCTTCACGTAAGTCGTTCACTCGATTTGTGCAATTTTAACGGCTCTCCGCGTGTTTTGCGCAGTAGTTTAGGGTTAAAGAGGTGAAACAGACAAAAGGCTCGGCGTAGGTTATTTCTCCCTTTTTAGGTCCGAGCGAGGCAGCCATGTTGTTGGCGATGGGTAACGTTAGCGAGGCAGTGAGTGGATAAATAATACGTGGCTTTATTAAGAGTACAATCGATAGAGGTCCGGCTGCGGTCAGTTGACATATGTGTCGGTTTGTGTGTGAGAGATAACGACCGAGCGTTTTCGGTAATGTGTTCGCCTCTTGCTTGGTCGCTTTTCGGGTAGAAGGGGGAGGATCTGGGAGCCTGGCCGCAATAAAATGAAGGGTCAGTCGGATCAGACAAGCCAGAGTCTGGCTACACATACCCTAGCGTTCCTAGTTAGCAATAGCGCTATCTAGCAACGGTCGGTAAACTTCATTTCCTCGGCAATAAATGTCTAACTTTCACCCTCATAGTTTTGCAGTTCCAAATAGCGGAACCGAATTTGTTCTCGCTTGTTTATCGTTGACTTTAAAAAGTGTGGAGAGGGTTTTTTTTTTCCAAGCCAGTGTATTTTCATCTACCCCTCCCAGTCTGCATGCAGGCTATGTCAGAGCCATGGTCGGTCACCTGAAGTTCAGGGTTTTTCCCCCCCATCCCTTCGCAGCCATTCATTGCAGACAGACTACGATCAATAACGCGGTTTGAAAGGGGAAACGACAACTGTGCTCTACTACGTTGCTTAAAATAACTTGGTGCCGCTACAGAAGCCTATTATAACTCCCACGTAGTTGGTTTTGGTAGAAGATTGGTTTACTTTTGTGCTTTTGACCCTCCGTATCTTGGACGTTTGTCTTGTACCTTTATCGGTCAGGATAATGAAAAGCTGCAGTAACACACTCCAGCCACTAGAGGATCGCTTAGCTGGTAGTGGGCAATGACAACGATTGTTAAAATCCCAGAGTGGCATGTTTTGCTCTTCACCATTTATGTCCAGTACATGCGTAAGCAAACAGCCCAGTTACTCAAAGTCATGGTATGCAAATATAATGAATAATTGAGTGATTCATTTTTAAATCAACGATGGCTTGATACATTTATCTTATGACACTGTGTTCTTCACTCCTTAAATGTCAGATGATGCCAGCTGTTCAGAATAACCAGCCATGAGCAAACGACAAATTACCTGGTTTCTTTTACTCAGTTTACTGACATATAGCATTATTTTAATGTGAAAGGGTTTGAGGATTGAATGAACTCCTGCACCTGGCCCAGTCTAACATTTCAGACATTAAATCAAATGTTTGCCAGAGTAATCGCTGTAGCTTTAGATGATAGATACACACATGCAGTTTTTTTTTAAATTCTTAATATTCAGTGATCTACTGCCCAGGTGTTTGACCTAGGGTTGAACTTGGGAGATTGCAGCTGTTGGCTGGGAGACATGGAGGTGGAGACGGGATGACAGTGGGTGACTGAGTGCATCTCTGTGTGTATGTGTGCGACTGAGTGACAGGGAGATATTTGGACACTGAGCCCTCACTGATATGTTGCATGTAAATCGCCTGG